ACCGTACCAAACGTGTTTAAAAAGTGGTGTGAGCAATAATACAATTTTGTTGTTAGCCAAAATCCTCTGCCAAACTTATAGGTAACGTAATTATTATCTGCTAGTCATAATACCTACGTGGTCTAACTGAGTGCAAAATAAAATTTAAGTCAATTTAACGGATGATTTTCTTGAAAATAATGATGCATCCAAAATTCTAATGAGTAGTTTCTGAGTTAGTAAAATGTTTACACTAAGGATAATAATCATTGAAAATGGTTATATAAAATTAAAAATTATATTATGTAGTATTAGATGTCATTTTTATTATACTTGAATCGTTTTTACAAATTATTTATATAGATAAATCAATAGTAATTACCAACTTTTTTAAATCGTCTATTCCCCCATATATACAAACCATTACTATAGACATATTATAAACCTTAGTACACAAAGTTATATAAATCAAAAACTATTTGCTTGAATTTTTATTTAGATAGATCGAAATTCGCAGAAAAAGATATCTTTTTAATAATTAAAAATGAAAAAGGATGGTTCTCATTTGAAAAACGGAAGTTTATATTGTCATAGAATCATCCTCAAGTGGTACAAAAAATCTTAAGGATTTGAAAATTTGGTCTTCAAGCGTATATTAAAATTCCCAAAATCATAATTTAAGCACAAAAATAGGGTGAGCATGTTTAAAAAATCACTCTGTATATTAAATTATTAACATTTTGTTCATGTCCATATGTTCAGTGTCCAAGATTCTAAACGGTTCCCCAGGCCTGAAGTTAACATAATGGTTTAATTCGATATGTATTGGTAAGACATATTTCGAGTAAATTTATATCATAACGCTATCTGTTAGAAAATACGGAATGACCCCGTCATTTAATGAATATTGTTTTGACGCTACCAATTCACAAACAATGAAACATAATTAATAATAATACGTGTATCATTGTCTTATTCTGTGATAACATTGCTTGTTCAAAACTTTTTCCAACTTTATTTTTATTTCCAACATTTTTATAATTAAAACTTATGTGATTTTTCAGATAAAATTAAATTTTCAATATTTAATTTCCATGAAGTGTTTACAAATACATATTTTATTATAATTATTAGATTATTTTAATGGATTCCGTAACATTATTATTCATACAAAATGTATCATGGTATTTTGAAATGCTTCTATCATTATTACTACTTAGGGCCGTTCTTACAAGTTACAATGTCCGGTAAAGTGTCGTTTAACTGAAAACATATTTTATTACCTGCAGAATTTGGCCGGTTAAGTGTCGGTTAAATTTAACCGGACATTGTAAGAACAACCTTCAGAGTATTCCAAATAAAGTATGATCTGAACGAGATTGATGTAAATAGTTACTTTTTTGGTAATATACAAATACAATGATTTCAATGATTTAAACAATAATATAATATTTTTACATCAAGAAATAAAAACTATGTTCAGTTTATAATTTTGATTTTGAACCAATTTAATCAAACATCAGTTAACCAAGAAAAGTTGAAAATAATAATATATAATGTCTTTTGTATTTTTTTCGTGACTATGCATAAAAATATTTTATTATTATACCTCGCATTTGTCGAGATCAATATATTATAAATTACAAATTTTTATCCACACATTTTTTTCTTCAAATTCAACACGGCACCGCTGCAGTATATGGAATATGGATACACGTACGCAGTTTATAAGTCTCGTTTTAAATATCCATTAAAGCTAATCAAACAAAGATTGAAAACGAATTTGTTTTAAAAACCTTTTATTACTAACTACTGTGATAAAATTGCTTATAAGATGGCTACACTGTTTGCATTGACCCAGCTCAAACTTCTTTGGAATTAATCACAATGTCTACCGTATAAATGTATATGATAATATTATACACTATATATATCATATATGTTACCGTCTGTGCTACATTAAATGGATGACACTCATTCTTAACCAATCTTCGCGTTTATTATAATATTGTATAGCTGCAGTATTATTTCATCCGGAAAAAAAGAATAATAAACAAACAGAATAATATTTTTAAAAGGAGACTTTTTTGCCCGCGTTGGCAACCAAATGTAATAATAATAACTATTTTTTTCTGAATAACAACCTCTAAACAAAGGCAACTAAAAATAAACGAAAATTAAAATAATTTCAGAATTTTAAGGACCATTTTAAGGCATGTGTGTCCCACCATATTATGTAGGATGAATTCCAGCATAAAGAGTAGCCTTCATCACTTGGTGTTGTCAAAAAAAAAAAAATGCGTGTTGTTGATAATTATTTGAAAAAAAATGTATTATATTTACTACCATTTCGAAAAAAATTTGATAAAAAAAAATATATGTATGCACATTATTATGTACACATAATTTAAAATATTATTACTGTAAAATGAATACTCGAGTAAATTTCGTGCAAAAGCGAAGTCGATCAAAACGCACCTTTTTATTTTGGCGCAGATGGGTTATGCCCAATACGGATTATTTTTTGTGGAGCAAATGTGTAATTTTCGGTTCAAGTCCTCTACCTGTCTGTGAAAATCCCTTCAAAATCGGTTTAGCCGTTTGGAAGATTAGCCCGGACATACAGACGGACACTTCAATTTTATTTATTTGTAAAGATAAATATACTTCATCTGAGCTTACCACACACATTTAGGCACGTGTATCTTATATTTTGTAATATTTTTTTGAAAATTTGTTAAAAATCGACGGTCGGCTTTTTACTAGTTTTAAACGATTTATGACCATAATATTGACTATGTAAGCGAAAATAATTATTTTGTCACCAGACTTCGTTTAACTATAATATTATGTATATGCTCGATAATATACATTAATATCAATTAACTCGGAACACTGACCTGTCAGTCCTTTACGACCGTGGTACCCTAAAATCACAAACGGTCGTGTTAAGTTATAATAATTATAATGATAATACCAGTAATAGTGTAATAATTTCTATATTATAATACATGTTTTAAAATAAATAATTTTATCTTTCATATTGACTTAAATCATATCTAACCTAACCTAACCTTACATAATATAATTTTATTTAATTGATATGAGTATCATATAATATGATATTTATGAATTATAAATCGTTGGTTTTTCTCAGATTAAGAGATCAAGAATCGAATATTTGAAACCAAAACACGCACACCATAATCCTAATAAAGAACCATTTTTTTTAACAAATATTTTATGGCTATATTTGATTTTGATATTTTTGTAAAAAAGCTTTAACATATTCGCTCCGATCAGAATCTAAAACGAGGGAGGGTGACACGCAATTTTCCATAACCAGTGGCATCACAAGTTTATTTCTGATAGAGTTTATAATATTAATTATAATAATAATCTATTATAAATCTTTTAATAATAAGATTGGTCACAAAAATTTGTATCGTTTTTAATTAAAAAAAAATATATAATATAGTTTGCTTGAAATATAGGGAGACGTGAATTTTGAAACCAGAAACATCAATATTATCTATTTGAATATTTCATACTAATACACAATATATAGTTTGCCAGAGAAGTTTCACAGACGAATACAAATATGAATTTGACTTCAAAGTTGTATTTTATATCAACTTATTCAACTAATTTATATCCTAAGACAGTAAGAGCTAAAATATCAACCCTCGCCGAAAATTTAAAATGGTTAAAAATATAATATAGGTATAATATGTAAAGGCGTTTAAGTTATTTAGAAAAAAAAAGTCATCGGCGAGGGTAAGATTAAAAATGATTCATTTTAGAAAAAATTTTAAAATATGTGATATTATAATCTGTATGCCTTCATCGCTGTTTTGCTGAGATATACTAATAATACTAATTTGTAACATGGCTAAGAAATAATTATAGGTAACATAATAATATATTACGCATAATTAAAACGGTCTCAAAAATTATTAGTAACTGATGATTTCAGCATTTTGATGTGATTAATTATTTTCCCATACGCTTTTCTGATAAAAAGACTGCATCAGAGTTTCACGAAGCCGGAGGAGCAGTACATATTGGATATCAGACACAGATAGTACTAATTTGGAGTGGAAAGTTGAAACAGATAACTTTTTGAACTTCATAGTAATCGCTTTTCAAAAGACTGTGAAATTTACACTTCGGCTGGGACTATTATTTTTTACCAAAAACGATTTAACCTGCTTTTTGCTTTTTGTTTTATACCCAACACAAAAATAATAATAATTTATTTTTATTTTTATTGCATAGAAAACTTTGGTTCAAAGGATTTATTGTTGTGCATTATAAAACCAACATTGATTAATTATTGACAGTTTATAAAATATATTACATATTGTATGCCGGAAAATTTTTTTATAGTTCGATAATTAATATGTATACCTTATTATTATAAAAAAATCATAGGTATGGGATTAATTTTCTAAGTATATGAGATACAGTTTATAATTAGTCATTTTATCCTGCACCCTGCCAATAATACGCATTTGAGCTATTAATTTTTTTTCCAAGGGATAAGAACAATATTGTAATACGAACAATATCATGAATTATGAATATTTTTACGAACAACAGAAAAACAATACTTAATTGCGTTACAAATTACCTACTTAAAAAAAATCCCCAATTAATCGTCCTACAAATTTTCTTTCTCCAAAACTTAAGCCAAGTAAATGCACGATTTCACTATAAATTTCTGCTGCAGTGTTTGTTTTCTGACACACCTACATAATTTTTTCTCGCACGACGTAGGTGATAATAATATAGTTATGCATATGCGCAAATATCGTTTGGGATTTGGGGGTGGCAAAGACTTACATTGATAATATTGAATAAGCTTAAAACAAAATGTAGGAATTGCTTAGAGTCTAACCCCCCCCCCCCCGATTAGCGCTTATGTAGGTACGATACCTAATACATACAACTGTACAAGCAAGATTAGGAGCGATCTCGATGACGATGATAGTTTTCTACAAATAATAATAAATTATTACCCGGTGTTGCAGCGAGTTGGGTGAGTTTTCGTTGAACTCGACGACTGCCTGCAGACTGGCTGGCGTCGAATGGCTCTTGGTCAGCTCTGCCGTGCTGCTGGAGCTGATCTGGCCGCTGATGGCCGGCGAAAACCTGGCCCGGCCATTCCACTGATCGCACACCACATACCGGTCGAGTATGAAACGTTTCTTGTTTGACCTGGACGGTATCATTTTGGCGTGCGACGACAGCAGTGGCGTTTCCATGCTCTTGGTCGAGTAGCCGGGCGACGAGTTGACGCTGTACGAGTCACTCCAATGTCCGCTGTCCTGTGAACGTTATGAATCATATGATGATATAATTAAGTGGACGTGATAACTATTGCCGATAAAAATACGGGGTGGGGCTAGATTAGAATCGGCGGAAATCCGGTGTGGACATATACATAATATTATAAATAAATGGACTGCGCTTTCCTCACCCCCTTCTCACCATATCTATGATAATCTGAAATGTAAATTGTGTGAGTGAGATGGATATAGTTGGGTGCAATCATGAAAGAAATAATATTAGGTATATTTCATTTTATGCCATAAAATTATTGTAATTTATAGATTATATAGTATTACTGATACTGATAATCATGATTGATATTTGAATAGCAAAATATAGTATAGATAGTACTATCTTTAATCGTGGTAGTGATACAATATTTGATAATATTATGGAATAACTTGAGTATTAAATTATTTCCTCCATGGTTGCCTCCAACTGTCAACTGTCAAACTCTCTCATTCAATATCGGTTTCATGATTTCTCTCTCTAAGCGCAGTCCATTAATTTATATGTCTATGGGTGTGGAGCACTAATAAGGAATAAGGCGTTCGAGTGAACTCAGTCATCCCAAAAGTTTTTATGGGCGTGCTATTATAGGCATTAACCCTAACAATTATTGTATGTTTATATTTTATCCTTCTAACTATACGCTTGCACTCATATAATATTTCATAAAATATAATAAACATAATAGTTTATTTTATGTTGAATAATATTTGAGTAAAAATCGTTCAAGTATACAAAAATATATATACAAAATTCTGGATTTTAATTTTGCTCGGCTATGTATATCAACAAACTAATACGATTACATATACTTGCCTTAAGGACCAAATAGTACTTAAATTGTTTTATGTTAGTGTGACATTTTTAACTCGTCGTTTATAATCTATACCTAATAGGTAGGTATATGAATATTAATAAATCACTATTATATAGTTATTAGCATTTTATTGGATTACATCAGAGGTTATGTGTGATAATATAGTGTTACGTCTGCAATCATTAAGTTATCTATGAGCTTAGTGAGCCGTTTTGGTATATTCCTGGAAACTAATTTGGAAGTAATATAAAAGCCAGAACCCCCTTCCCCACACATAATCTGTGTCAGATAATTTAACATGTTGCCATTGTACCGTAGGAAGGTCGTAAGGAAGATTGAACTCATTGAAGTCTTATACCCATTTTATTTTTTAAGGATCGACACATAACTACATTTTGAAATGATGCCCTGAGCTACAAGTTATATTATTTAAATTATATTACCTATATGATTTTCGAAAAATATACAAAGTGACTTAAATCCAAAATAGAATTATAATTTGTTATGCACCTGGCCATTTAAAAATCGGTGGAGTAAAAACATTTAATCTATAAAAATATTATGATTTGGCTATAGAAACACGTAAATACGAAAACAAGTATGAAAAAATAGTACAGGTGGCTTTTTGTCCCCAAAAAAATTGGATCACAGAGATTAGCTGTCTATAGGTAATTATAACGGAGTCCAAAACACACCGTTTACAGATAAATTTACTGAGCTCCAAGCAATTTCCCGAAATAAAAAATTTTTTATTTTGTTCTTAGGAAGTTTAACGTTATTTTATATCTTTTCAGACTTTTTTAAAAATATATTTTTACTTTAACTTCAAATTAAAATCGGTAAAATGTAATACATTACATTGCATTTGGATTTCATGCAATACCCATACATATGTAAGTGTAATGTACCTACCTATCTATACTTTCTCATCATGTAATGTCAAAATGACAATGGTGGGCATTAACTTGATAAAAAGTTAAAGTTAAGTTAAAAAGTTAATTTTTTTTAACTTTTTAACTTAACTAGTTAGTTTTTTTTGTTTTTAACTTATTAACTTATTCAGTTAAATTTTGTATTGTTTAAACTTAACTTTTTAAAGTTAATTATCATTATTGTACAGTTAAGTTAATTAAATTAAATTTTTATCATGTGGAACCAAGAGACAAAACTCATTCTTTCTATTTTGCCATTTTGGTAATTTATTTTTCTAATAATATAATATCATCAATTCATAATAATCAAATTATATTATAATCTATAGGTACTATAGTAAAGACTAAAGAGTAATAATTAGTATACTCTCCTTGTATCGACTGGCTATTTTCACGAATTCTATTATTTAATTATTTAATATTATTTAATGGTATTGAATAATCCGATTTTTGTTTTATCTAACTCTCCAATTCCTAAAAACAGGTTTAAAACTAAATATCATAGTCTTTAAAAGGATATCATTATATCAATAATATATACTGGTTACTGGTAAATACGACAATTCCAATAGACAAAACAAAAAGTCGTCCGAGATATTTATAAATTATAATTTATATTGCTGTATTCGTTATAAATACAAATAAACGTATGAGATTAGAAAATAACATTATCCAAATAAATATGGAAACAATTTTTGGTAGGTATTATACTATTATCATTATTCATTGATTTTATTTTAATAATAGACTATTATAATGGTACTAAATGACAAATATTTAAAAACAGCCTATACCTATTAATATTATGACTTAAAAAAAAAAAATTAACTTTTTTTTAACTGAGTTAAGTTAATTTTATTTTCCATCTTAACTTTTAACTTAACTAGTTAAATTTTATTTTTTTGTTAACTTTTAACTTAACTGATGGCAATTTAATTGAATTAACTTAACTTTCCACAGTTAATTACTTTCATTAACTTGCCCACCATTGCAAAATGACAAACTCCTTTGGTCCTTAGCTAGAATGACTACACATTATTCGGTTTATATTTGTGATTATTACACAGATAGATAGCATTATTTCAATTGTTACAATCAAAGTATTTTCGGTGCAAATAAATCATTAGGTAAACACCTTGATTTTAGATATAAAAGTAAATTTGTCAAATATAATGTTAAATACAAGAAAAAACGATTATTTTAAATTAAAACATTACGATTTTCTGTTTGAAACTATTCTAACCACCAAGTATAAATTGTTAAAGATTATCAGCTTATCCTTTGCAAATTTTAATTAACTTGGGAAGTTTTTGGCCTGCTATGTTTTTTGAAGATAACCAAGTTTATTTCTACAAATGTTTAAAAATATTTCCATTTCCACTTCTCCAAAGATTATATATATTTAATGGTAATAGGTGTTCATTTCTCATTGGTTATTTTGTGATTTGCAGAAGCATATTATATGGTATTATGTTATGTGTTAAATTATAGTTCCTGTAAAAGGGGAGATAATTGATTTAAATAAAAGATTGGAATAAAGGAAGATTTATTTTTTCTCAAATCGTATTTTCGCAGATAATTTATACAGTTTAAAATATTTTCTTTGAACTAATCTGTCAAGGTCCATGGTACATAACCTTCTGTGATTTTGGATATAATATCATTATACGTCAAAACGTTTTAGTGCTTTATTTAATGTGAGTATGTGATAAATGATAATAAATGAGGATTTTAGCATTAAAGAAATAATACCAAAAATAAATTTTAGATAGCGGATTATAACCACGTTATAATTACTTACCCCAGGGCCTAGATAATATTATGTTATGCCAATGGGTGAAAAAAAAAACTTTATGACGGTCCGATTGTAAGACAACATATATAAACAATAACACTGGACTTAACCTATCAATGAGTAACAATCCGTTCAAGGTCTATTTTCTAGAGTATCGAACAGTCGTTTATTGAAATGTGATGCAACAAGTTATGGTTTTCAGAGTGGCGTCTCCATATTTCGGGCAATATACGCAATATAATAATTTCCAGAGTATAACAGATTGTTTTAAGATTTCAAATAAATATATACTTTTACATTATTATAACATTGCGAAATAACGCCAAAAAGATAGGCAAGTACTATACGCACGTGGGCGGGCCAACTCCAATATTATTGTAATATAATGTCAATCGAAATACCGATTGTCCCCTTATCACCTCTCACCTGTCGATTGGGAGACATGGTCGCCGCGGGCGTCATCATCTCGTAACTCTCGCGACTACCACCGTCCAGCGGCTCTGAAATGCATTTGATGGGTGGCGGCACTTTGAATCTTCTGGCGCGCAGTTGCGGTGGTTGCTGCGGCGGTTGCGGTTGCTGCGGTTGCTGGGGCTGTTGTTGGACCACGACCGCGGTGTCTTTGGTATGGTCGTCGATGAACCCTCTGACGTTCTGCCGGTCAGTCGGCGGATCGCCCGCACTGCCGTTGGTGGCGCGTGGCGGAGGTGGCAACTTGTATTGGGCCGGGCGTGGACTTATCACTGGCGGCCCAGGGTTCCGTCTGGCCGGAATCAAAGGCACCATGGTCGATGGAGTGTACAATGCCTGCGAAAAAAAAAACGTAAAACTTGTACAAGGGAAGCATTCCGGTAAAGTTGAAACGCCAGTCAGCGTGTAGCCGATTTTAACGTTACAAAGGGATCATTATGCGACGCATGAGTATTATAATTTCCTTATTTACACGCAAATTATTCAAGCGTTTTGTTTGTAACTTTCTTTTGTGGCAAATAACACCCTACTAACATATTATAATCGATTACTTTCAATATTGTTAAAATGTACATTTAATCATTGTCTTGTCCCCGTTCTTGTTTACATTTTCCGGTAGTAGTGTACATCTTGACGTATTTTTAACGAACTGTTATATATTTCTTTTTAGGTATGTTATTTTTTTTTTTTTAACTTTGTCTGTATATAACTAATGCCAATATTTCATGATGAGAGATCAAACTTGGAAAGTAGATATCTACTATACCTATAAACGTTTTTGAGAAATTCCGTAAAACGATACACACTCGATATGAAGATAATAATATGATAATATTATTGATATTGTATTTAATTTATTATACTATTATGTTAGAACCAATCGAATACATAGGTGCATAGACGATTTCGGGTAAACCAAGAAAATTATGTTACCTATTTACGATATATTAAATTAAGTAATGCTATTTACATATTATATTAATTTAATTTTCTAAATCATCTGTAGGTAACCACTACTACAATAGGTGTACATTTTGTTTTTATAGATGAAATGAGGTGTGTAGTAATAAAAATAAATATTCAAAGGCTAAAACTGTTAAGTTGACAATTATAACTGTCACATTCGGACTTGGCGCATTAGTGCGCGGCGCCGGATGAAAAATTTAAGCCAAATCACTGGAGTATTAATTTAAAACCACACGTTTTAGATTTTATCAAATTTCAATTACGGCATTGTAGTCTATAGAGAACTTTAATCAGTTTAGCGCTTGTTCGGTCGCGTTGAAAAATACGTTGGAATTGGTCCCTTAGAAGGTATATTATATATTATACCAGCAATCAGAGTTAGGTATATGTATTATAGTATATTTGACCATTTTTTCTGTGGCTTATAATACCTACGTATTTATATTTTATACATATATATTATATAAATATATACTTGTGCCTGCAAACATAGCAGTATTCTATTATGTTAGGCTTAAGTAACAATAGTTTTTATTAATTTTTTAATTTTTTTTCAATTATAAATATACAAAATCTTTTTAGGAGCAACAAATAAATTATTCTACTTATATTTTTGATTGTATAGTATTTATACATATTTAAGATTCGATCTTTACACTATAAAGATGATGTTCACTTACAGTCGAAATGTTGCATTTAAAATATTATAAAATTGTACAATTTGCAATATGCATCAATTTGTCAAAAACTCTGTTCGTTTCATTTGTTCGCGTGTTTCAATTTAAATTATTTTTTTCTCTACTAAATAATTATCCTATTTGAGTTACTATAATACATAGTTATTACACAGAATCAATGAATAACATGATATTTATGGATCGTGTGTTTGAGTTATTTTTCCTTAAGTTCAAATGTAAAATGTATATTTTAATAGGTAAACCTTTGAAGTTTGAATGGTGTTTTAATTTTTCAAATAAATATTTTCTAAAAGTAGGTAGGTACTATTTACATTCACAATTTTTTTTTTCAATCGTCTTAAATTGTTTTTCAAGCGACCACGGACTATTTTTGGGAATAGGTAGTGTATATTATATAATATTATTGTCTCAACACAAAAAATGTCATAGATTTCCACTATAATACATGTAGTGTTCGATTAAATATTAATATTATTAAGATAGTTAAACTTAACTATATCATATCCAACCACATTAACTAATATTAATTAATTTTTTTTTTTTTTTAAAGAAAGATTAAAAAATATAATATATTATTTAAATTAGCTTAAAAAGTTAAAAGTAATTGTTTATAAAATATATATTTTTGTTATTTAAAGTAGGAAAAATTTAATATAATATAGTACCTCCGTACTGTTTGAACAATAAGGTGAAAATACAATGCATGTACTACTGTGAACACATAAAAGAACTTTTGGAGTTTTTCCAACTCATATTTTCTGAATGAAAAAATAAAATAAAAATAGCCTGTTCATTTTAATATAAATTTAGAACTTTTTGATTTTAAATTTTAAACAACTTTTTATGAAAATTACTCGACACCGAGATGAAAGTCTTGATTTATACATTTCTTCTACAAACATAATAAAAACATATATTTATTTTTCAAAAAGTAAACGTAAACTAGATGTAATACTCAAAATGTACTTTATAGTTTTAAAAAAATATTGTGTTTAAAATATATTTTATCGGTATATAATATATTATCCATTAATTAAAAGTCATATTTTTTATTGGCTTTAATTTAACATAAATTGTATGTAAATGATTTTAATAATTTATTTTGTTTTTTGATTTTACAAGTTAATAAACCAATTAATTAATTAAATATATTTTTTAATGCATTTTCTCATATTTAGGTACCATACACCTATACATTCTTGTGAAATTTGACAGATGATAGATAACTTAAAAGTTTATTCAATACCAAAGTATTGTTCTTTAAAAATATTATTGATTATTATTTAAAAGAAAGGTAGGAAAAATATAGTAATATTATCTATATTCAGTATTAAGTTTTCAAACACTGCGGCAGTTCACATTCTATATTATACGTCTTGTTATTACCGTTAATGCATTTAATATGCTTATCGGACGTCTTTATTCTCATATTATACAGGTATGGTTATACACATATACTATACAGTATTTATGAAACATTACAATTATAATGGTACATATAATTGTTGTGAAAATCCAACTGAAATGTTTATATATTATAATAGGGCAAAGTGGACTATCGAGTAATGTGTACAGTCATTCTGGAACTGCCTGATTTTGATCAGCAATGTATAGGTATTCAAAATTATAAGTTTCCTGAATATTTTAAACTATCTAGTTCACTTAGGGCAGTGTTAACTACTTCCCTCGGGTCCCTGCTTTATTTGATACTTATATATTATAATATTTATAGTTTTAGGTAAAGATGAACTGATTACATTTTTTTTTTAGTAGGTACGATTGTTGAAATTATTGTTTATCATTCTAATTGAATGAAATCACATTCACAAATATTCACAAACGTGATGTATGATTGTATTGATGTAATTTTACAATATCTTAAATGAAAGACATCATAATAATTAATATTATCTTTAAGGTAGAGCCGGATTTACCAACAATTCAATTTATGAGAACTAAAACTATAGTACCTATCAAGTGAATTAGTTATATGTTCTAGTTCGGTACAATTACTTTATAAAATTAAGAAGGTAAGCCATGAATTATGCAATTGATATTTTTTAAAAGTGTTCAAGTTGGCACATATACATAAACAAGTAATTATTTTGAAAAGTATTTAAAAGAATTTAAGATACTATCAACAAATTAAAATTTTTTTGCAAACAATTATTTTAGCATTTTCATGTCTTTCATTCATTTTATTGAAAATTGTACACTGTACCTAAAATTTTGTGTAATTAAAAATTATTCATATTATTAAGGTATTTGAATTATAAAATGGGTGTATAATACGTCACATACAAAAATATATTAAAAATATATATTCTCATGTTCAGTGATTAAATTGAAAATAAAAAAAATATAAATTAAGAAAATAAGTATTTAAAATACAATATATATATTTGAGTAGGTATTTAAAAAGTATTTGAAATTTGAATACTTTTACTCAAATACTATTTACAAAGCTGCAGTCAATACGTACTAAATTGACAAAAAAGTTTGTGTCTTTTTTTAGATGGTAATTTAATCAAATGGCTGTTTGTTTTAGTTTTATTTCATAACTTTTAGGTTACAAAGCCCAATTTACTACTGGAAAAACAGTGTTTGAATGAATTGTCCAAGAAATCCGTTATTTTAAGTTGTAATATATTATATTTCAGGGATATAGGTAAGATAAATTCCTCTTTAGGAGAATAAATATAATAACTATATATATTGACCCACAGAGATCGAGTACATTGTATTTGCTTTACGGTTTCATTGTTGAAAAAATAATTGAGAGTTCTTCAATTTACAGATAGTTCTTGTCGTTTCACTACCCAATTGAATTGTGAAAAAAAATTATATTGAAATCATTATGTAAAAATTTTAATATACAAACTATATTGTAAAAACACTTATTAAGAATCTGTCAAACGATCATTCTTCTATTGTGCGCCAACTATAATAACTGTGTAACAAAAAAATGTTTTTTTAATAGTTACTGTTGTCACTTATATACAAGTTATAACCTCCCTAATAGGAGGACTACAGATTTTCTTGGAAAAAAAAAATAATAAAATACAAAATTTGACCCGTTGTTTGTGTAAATTATTTTTACTCGAAGTCTACGATGACGCTAACGCCGGCGACGGTTCTGCATCGATTTTATATCAGAAAGTACTTTCCAATTTTCAGTGAACGTGACTTTGAAAAGCCGGCCTTTTAGTGGTGTTGGCGGTATAAGTTGACCGTGGAAATCCAGTGCGTTCGGTACGAATGCGGTAAATTTGTTTCGTGACCTCTGCCGTTGACTTAATTAATAGTCATCGGCAAAAACAGATCTACAATTCAGTTTTATTTTCGTCGTTAATTATTCGAACGGTGCCGTCGACTACTCGAACCGTTCCACTCGCTAATCGTTCTAATTTTAGCGTTACGATAGTTCCAAATAATAATAATAATAATATTATAGAAACCAATTCACTCAATACACTCCACTTTTGAACTTGCAGGAAGGTCCCTCTATATTATATACCTATAATACCATACGCAATAGCAAATTTAGTTGCGTGATGCCGACTGGATCGATTCCGATGGGCTTTATTGTACATGTACCTATATTATACAGACCCTAATCTCGAAATAAATCAATCAAAAATGTTTTCCTGC